TACCATTCTAGCCTCAGATCATATCCACAGTGGCTTTTCTGATCAAGTAGTTCCGGGGACTTTTATTTTAGTGGGGAGACCTAGAAAGTCCCCAGAGAGGAAGGACCGCAACCAAACCACCCAGGATGAAAGCCGCATTCGGTGATTCTCACCATGGCTCTCCTCTGGCCCCTGCCTCCAGACACACAGAGAGAAAGAGAACAAAGGTGCCCGCCAGGGGACAGGGGTGCTACCTGCTACACCTCGGCCTCCAGGAGAGGCTGCAGCTGTCCCAAGTGCGCGCACGTTATTTATGCTCACAGCCAGCTCTGATGACATATGTAAGTTGACAGCGGACATCCTATCAACTTGCTGGAGTGTATCTTGATTGTTAAAACACTCTTAAAGGTGTACAATCATTTATCAAATTAAAATAGCCGTGTCTTGCCAGTTTCTTTTCCACCTGCCTAGATGGAAACCCCCAGTCTCCATCCCTCTCTAGCCTCCTGGGTAATCTGCCCGTGCACCCAGGCCCTGCTCCTCAGAGGACAGTGTCCCTGCTGCCAGGAGCCTGGGCCTCAGCATCCCCTCCCTACTCTGGCCCAGGCCAGGGCAAGCCCACTAATCGCCAAGAAATGACAAACGCCAGAAGCCCCACCAATTAAATTTAAACTCATGCAAAGCTCAGTGGCTAGTAAATTATTATTTTTATTAGCTTGAACCAAGTTCCCGTAAGAGAGAAAGTCAACTTGCTCCCATGAATGGGTCTTGTATAATTTATTTAACTCTGTGCTCTTTGCCAAAGCCTGGAATATTTTTAGCTCGTTCTGTTGTTGGATTTGGCTTTTTTATGTGTGTTTCTGAGGGTATTTTTAGCCGCATCTATGTTATTCTAACAGCCTCCTATGCATTTTGTCCTGTCTGTGGGGGCTGTTGAACCCTGTCTCACAGGGAGATGAGGGAGATTTCTAAGAATAACCGGGGAGCGTTTGGGGTGCACACGTTTTCCAGGGGAGATGTGCTATTTGCACAACGCCGCTCCCTGCCTGCCTCACTAATTTGCCTTATTACTCACGTGACCTGGATATTCCTACAGAAAGCGCGGCAGCTCCGCACAGGGATCATCAGACGTGCTGGCAGCACCAGCCCCACTGGGGGAAACCCACATTCCAAACAGGGCTTGGGCAGGGCGGGCGTGGCAGGCCACAGCTGCCGGTCCACGCAGCCCCAGATTCCCGTAGCTCCTCTGGGCTCGCAGCAACTTTGATGTCTAGCTCTGTCACTTACGGAGCAGGACGGGTGACGTCTTTGGAAAGTAACTCTTTTCACACCTACTTAATGTTGGTAACTGTTGCAGAAACACTCCATCGTGTCATGGAGTTAATGAGGTATTTAAGAAAATGTATTTTTTCCTTTACAAAAAAAAAAAAAAAAAATCACATGATGCGGGGGAGCCTTTGATGGGTCTTTCCACACAAGGAAATTCTTTTTTTTTCTCTACGGAGTTGGGGGTATTTTTTGGTTTTGTTATTTGGTGTTTTGTTTCTTTTTCTTTTTTGGAGACTGGCGGTAGGAAGCACTTTTTTTTTTTTAGCAAGAAAGAAGTTTGCAGTTCTCCCACCAGAAGGAGCCTCGGTTCTCCCACAACACCTCAGGCTCAGAGCACCTGGCTTCCCAGGCCCCGGCCATTTATACCCCAAAGAAAACAAGAGAAGGGGCGGAAGGGGAATCTGAGCAGATTATTGAAACCAAGATGAGAAATAGCGCCTTGGTGGAAGCCTGGCCCCTGGAGAGGGGAGGCGTACCGACCAAGACCGACAGGACCTGCCAGCCAGTAGCCGGGAGGGCGGAGGCTGCGCACGACGTGGGCGCCCAGGCCGGGGCTGCCGCGGTCACACACACTCCCAGCATGGGCGCCAGCCCCAGTGGCCCCAGGCGGTAGGCACTGATGAAAAATCTTGGGTTGGTTCTTGTTGATTTTTCTTTTTTCCCCCTAGATTTCACAGCTTTGCCTCCCGACCATCTGTATTAGAGACAAAATCTCACACTGAACTAAAAATAAAGATTCCAAACATTTTAATTGCACCTTTTGGTGACAAGGTTACTGGAACAGCACTTTACCATAAAATCCTACAGCCTGAGTCTAAAGCGCCCAGCACTTTCATTTTTAGAAAAACAATGGAAGAAGCCCTGGAGCCCATGTCCCCACCCATCAGGGCCCCTCGGGCTGACATTCTGAAAGTGCTGGGTGGGGTGGAGGAAGAGCAGCCCAGGCAGCCAGCAGGACACCCTTGGTCCAGCTGCGGTGCCAAGTGCCAGGCCAGAAAGGCACAGAAGAGGAGCCCAGCAAAAAGAGGCAGCCTTGGGGAGGCCAGAGCCTCCATCCACGATGGCTGGATCCTACTCCCAGACAGGCGGGAAGAATCAGGGCAATTTTCCTTTCCGAGGGGCAGTCAGCGGAGGGAGGGGCATGCTAGCTGCAGCTGTGGCCTGCAGACTGAGGCCATCCAGGAAAACGGGGATCGAGTTGGCCAAGCCGGCCATTTGGAAAAGTTGTTTAACTTAATTATACTTTTTTCTCTCTCAACTAAATCATATATAGACACAAACCAAAGCAAAGTGATCTGGGGTATAATTCCTTCTAAAAAAGATACATGCAGCTAAATTTTAAAAACCAATACAATATTCTGGCTCTTAGCAATTTCAAAAGGCTTTCTTTCAGCTCCACATGCTTCTACCTGGATGCCTGTGTAGCCAAGTTTCCCATCACAAACGGGCTGAACATCTCCCAGCGCAAGAAGTCTCATCGGTCCGCAGGGGGGTAGAAATGGGGCCTCCAGGGATAGGGGACACACGGCCCTTCAGACCCTGAACCAAGCGGCCCTGAGGGACCTCCAGCGCCCTCTAGAGCACCCTGAGCTTGGGGAGGCTGGGAGTGCCTGGGGTACAGAAAGTAGGGAGGACACAGGCCAGGCCAGAGCCCAGAGCCGTTTCTCACAGCCCTCCCGGGCCTACAGGCCAAGAACCACGTGGCTAAAGTTAGAATGAGCAAGACAAAGGGCCAGGCCACCCGACCGGGCGCCCACCTACCCGGGTGCTGCCTGGACCTGGAAGCAAGAGGCAGAAAGGGGAGAATTCGGCTGGCCCAGGCCTGGCCAGGATGTGAGTGCGGGCATGGGGTCACGGAGGCAGCACTGACCTGACCTGATGAGCACTGAGCCTCCCAGGAGGGGACAGCCCCAGCCGGCCCTGCACCAACACGCAAATATTGGTGTCAGGGGCCTCTGTCTCTGTCGTGCTGTGACTTGCCAGGCTGGAGGCCACAGCACAGTGGAGGTGGAGTGACCGCCTGCAGCCAGAACAGGGACTGGTGGGGAGGCTGGCGAGCTGTCCCTGCCCAGGGCCGCCAGAGCCTCCACGCCCGTGCACCTGAGCCGGGTGGGCAGCAGTTCCCGAGCAGGGGCAGGAAGAGAAGCCTGCTAACCACAGGGACAGCGGGAGAGATATTTTTAAATCGCCCATCGCGCAGGCAAGTGCTTTTTCTCCTTCTCTTTCCAGTTATAAATCTAGAGAAGAAAAAAGAAAGGGAAAAAAGGAAGGAAGAGCAACAGAGAGAAAAGGACCGCCTTGCCAAAGCGCCGGGCAAGGAGGGAAGGGGGCGGGGGCCGACCCCAGAGGCGCTGGGGAGACCCCTCCACTGTGCGGCTCCTCGTTCCAATCTCCTGGCAGTGCAAATGCTGGAAGCCCATTAGCAATTAACCAACTTCGAGTTTGTTTTTTTCCTAGGAAATGTAGGTTTTTCTGCCTGCCCTCCCTTCTTCCGACGTTTTCCCTTCTCGTCCCGTCTTTGCCATCCGTTTTAATCCACACACTAATTGTAATCCCATTAAAGCAGATATAATTTTATTAGTATTCACAGTTTATCAAGCTACCAATAATAACTGTTACTGCCAATTTTTTTTTCTAAAGCGGCAAACATTTCTGGTGTTTAGAACAAACTGTAAACAACAGCCACCCATGTGCGAGGGTGACCCGGCGGGTCCCTAGCGCAGCGCTGTGCCTTACCGCGAACCGCCCCGGTGACCTCCGGGGCTTCAGGCACGGTAGCTGCCCCTTCCATGACCTCCCTCGACACTCCTATCAAAGCCACCGGGAAGAGGACGGCCCTGGAGGTCTGGGCCCCTCCGCCAAGGACCGACCCTCCAGGGCCGGGAGGGAGTCCGAGGGAGCAGCCACCGAGCCTCCCGGTGAGGCCCAGCACGGGCGCCCACGCTCTCCTCTTGGAGTAAACGCACCGCACTCTCGCCTGCACCGAAATCCTGAGCACTGCCCCGCGCCACCCTCGGGCTCGGGCCCGGGCCCCGGCCCGCACCGCCCCGCACCGCCCTCCCGGGGCCACAGGCTGCAAGGCTGGGCCGCACTCTGGCCACGCTTTGTCCGGCTTTAGCGGGATACCAGAGGCGCTCGCTAAGGCAAATGCATCCCTGCAAACCCGTTCTCGCCCTGACACTTCCAGGCTTTATATAGAAACAGGATTTGCTCGTCTTACACCGGCAGTCTCTATTAACGCCCGCCCGGCGCGCACACCACCCTAATCCGCGAGGCCGCGGCGTGCCCGGCCCCCTCCCCCCGCCACAACGGCCGTTTTGTTCCCGCAGAAAACGCCTCGTTGTCCCAGCCCCGGAACGCCTTAAGGAGGTGAATACAAAATGCAGAAAAAGGGTTTCCGTGGAATTTAGATCCGCAGGAGGGGGCGGGGGAGGGCGGCGAGGCGCGGAAAGGCTTTAATTTCACCGGCTCCGGCTCCGGCTCCGGGGCTGCCCCTCCGAGACCCCCGGGGGAGGGTGGCCGGGGAAAGGCCGCTCTCCACCGCGCCGACGCAGCGCGGGGGGCTGGCAGGACGCGTGGCCCCACTCGGCGCCCGGGCGGCCACCGCGGCCGGGGCCGGGAAATGAAACCAAAGCTCCTCCGCTCCTCTCTCGGCCGCTCCCGTCCTGCGCCCGCCCCGGCTGGGCACTGACCTGTGTGCGAAGCCATGGGCAGCGGCGACGGGAAGTACTTTCCTGGCTGGAAGTGCGCGGGGGGCTGCGCGGCGGGCCCGGCCGGGGCGAGGCGCGCGGCGGCGGCGGCGCTGCGGTGGCCCAGGCTGCCGCGTTCGGACAGCAGATGCGGCGGCGGCGCGAAGTCGCGGCCATCCATGCCGGGCCCCGGCCCCGGTCCGCCGCTGCTTCCTTGGAGCAGCGCGGCCGGGGCCCGGGGGCGGCTGGGCGCGCGGGCGGCGCAGAGGCGGCGGCGTCCGGGGTCACTGGCGGCGGCAGCGGCGGGGCTGGTCAGCACGCGGGAGAACTGGGCTTCTTGGCGGGCGGCCGCGCTCCGAGCCGGCGGCCGCTCTGCGGATCCATGGCCTGCAGAGGGAAGCAGACGAGACTCGGTGACGGGGGGACTCGGCTCGCCCGGGGGTCCCCGCCCCGCGCGCTCGCCCGCTCTCCCTCGCCCCCCACCCCCGCTGGCCCGAGCGAGCGGCGGCCAGGCCGGGTGGCGGGTCCAGGGCACTCGGCCTCTCCCCGCCGCACGCGCGCACAGCCCAGAACCCGGGGCCCCGCGCGCGCACGCACCGTCCCGGCCACGCTGGGCCCGGGGCGGCCGGGGGAACCCAGCCGCGCTGCTCGCGGCCTCCCCTTCTCGTCCCCGCCGGTCCCTGCAGCGAGGGCACCGCGGCGAAGAGACTGCTGGCTCTGCTGGGTGATAAAAACCCAAATCTGCGAAGCCATCACGCACACACACACACACACACACACACACACACTCACGCGCACACCCTTTCCCCTCCCCCGCTGCCCAAAGGTGTCTCCGACGAAGAGGCCTGGGGTCCACGCTCGCTCCTTCTCCCCACCTCATGCCAAGGTCCAGCTTTTACTGCGTTCCGCTTAGCCGAATAACCATGCTAATTAAGCGAGTAATTTTATTGATTGTAACTCAAGAGTTTTTTTTTTTAATAACCTGCCTTTTCTCCCCACTCCCATCCCCCCCATGCATTCGGCCCATTCTTTTGAATCCACCGTCGTCTATCCGCCCCCCCCCAGCCCCCCTGGGACCAGCTCCTGCCCCCAGCACCGCGCTAGGACCCCAGGCCGGCTCCCCAGAGTCCCGGGCACCCCGCAACCGCCACCGGCATCACCTGGGCCGCCACGCCGCAGTGCCCGGCCTGCTGTCCCGGAGCCGGGAGCTTCCTGTTGAGGCTGTAACAATCACCCCGCCCCCCAATCAAATTCGCCCAGGATCTTCCTCAGCGGATTGGGGGCTTGGGGGTGGGGGGGGGGCGCTTTCAGAGTCAGAATGCTGCTCTCTCAAAGGCCCAAATCGGCCCTGGGATTTCTTCCTTCCGCGCCTGCCGGGGACCTGGAGCAGAGGCCGGTCTCTGCACGGCGGGGTGGCCTGGGTACGCGGGGTCTGCGAAGCCCAGCTCGGCCTTCTAGCTGGAGAAGGTGGGCCCAGCCCAGCACAACCTTCCGCCAGCAGACTGCGCCCGGACCTCCAGCAGGGCCACCGAAAATGACCCTCACTTCCATTTGCCTCCACCCCCACCCAACGCGGAGCATCCACTCAGGCGAAATTGGGAACAATTTCAGACTCTTGGGCGCGGAGGGTTGGGGCCAGCGATAGAAGCTACGTGCACCACCGTGCGCCTGCAGCCCCTCCGAAGAGGCTCCCCGGCGCACTTAGCAAATTCCTGAACTCCTAAATGCGCATTGTTTTAATGTTTATCACCTCAACAAAAGGGAGATGGCGGGCTTGGTATTCTTAATTAGGAACTTTGCAGAAAACCTTGTGTTTCGGTAGCCACCCCACCATGACAACAAAGCCATTAAGATGTTTTCCATCTCGTGAATACCTTTTAAAATTGCTATATTTGATGCTCCGGGTTCTACAACGTCTTATTTGCAGACTATTTTGTGTCTGATTTAATCTATAACCGAAAACATAATGTATTAAGTGAATACATATTTGCACAGCTGATAAGCTTTTTTAATATTTATTCGGAGAGCTTTTGCATTGTAAATAAATGGGTCTACACAAAGAGTTCTCTTTGTCTGGCAACCACATACAAAGGCGTTTGGGGCTCCCTTCCCTCTGGGGATCGCTAACTCTCTCCCCCGGTCTAACAAATAACTCGGCTCTCAAGTCCCAAGCCCGGCCTGCAGAGCTTGCGCCCGACCGCCAGGGCCCGGAGAGTGCTCAAGCGAGGGGGCTGCGGGCGCCGGGTCAGGGGAGGGGCTGCCTGGGTAGGACTAGGGGCGTGGGGGCCCCCCAGCCCCGGCTGGCGCCTCCAGAGCCCCGGAGGGCGCCGGGCAGGACAAAGAGAAAGAAGGAAAGGGAGGGAGGTCAGAAACCTGCAGCTTCAAAGGCGCCGAGGGCCGGAGAGGGGCCGGGGGCTGCGCGCCTGGGGGTGCCAGGCTTCCCGGCGGCCTCCGGGGAGTCGTGTGTGCTGTGCTTTTGTTGTGTGCGTGTGTGTGCGTGTGTGTGTGTGTGTGTGTGTGTGTGTGTTTTTCCAATGAGAAATTTCCAAGTTGAGAAAGCGAGAGCTGCCGGCGATTCTCGGGACGCGGGCTCGGCTAGGAAGCTGCAGTTTTAATCTCCCACCCCCTGCGGGCGGATCGCAGGCCCAATTGTTCCTTTCTCACCAGCCCGCTCGACTTTTTAAGCAAACAGGAGGAGGATTACAGTCGCCCGCCTGCGCCGCCGCGGCTCCGACCGCAGTGGAGGGGCCGTTTCTTTGTGTTCTCTCTTCCCGGGGAGAGGCCGCGCCGCGCCTCCGCGTCTGCCCGCGCGGGGCTGCCGGGGCCTGAGGAGCCTGGGGCAGCCACACGGCCCGGGCCGGGAGCCCCACAGTTCCGCAGCTGCGACGCCGCCACCCGCCGAGGGCCGAGGCTCGGGGCCCACCCAGCCCAGCTCCGGGAGACGCCGCGGCGGACGAGCGGGAGGACGGCGCCAGGTCGGGTTGGGCTAAGGGAGGAAACGGAGCGAAAAGTGGCGGCGGGCGGAGGGCCCCGCGCGGGCATTTCGGAAGGAACCGAACCTCGGAACCCAGGCTTCTTCCCCGGAAGGCCGGGCGCCACCCGCAGCCCCCGGTCCGTCTCCCGCCGCCACGAGTGGCTGGCGCGCTCGGGGATCTGGGGCTTCTACAGGTTTGCTTTGTTTTCTGCTTCTGCATTTAAAAACCTGCTCTCGCTTCGGCCGCCCGCCGGAGACCAGAACTCCGACCCGCCTGCCTTCTCTGGAGCCGTCTCCGGGCGTGCGGGTGCCGTGGGGCCTGCAGGCCGGGCCAGGGCCGGGCGCGCCCCAGGGCGCGAGGAGCTCCGCCGCCGCCGCAGAACCCGCTCCCTGCGAAACAGCCGCACCCGCTCCCCAGGAGACTAATGAGAACTGGGGCCGCGCCTGACCCCCGCGCACGAGGAGAACCAGCCCGCGGACCCCGCCGCATGGGCCGTGACCCGAGCCCCGCGCGCTGTCCGGAACGCGCGCGGTGAAAACGCCCCGCTGCGCCGGCCTCGCTCGGCCCCCTTCCTCCACCCTCACTTCTCCGGGAGAGAAAAATCCTGAACTGGGACGCAAGACCCGAAAAAACTCGCGCTCACCGTTCCCCTCCCCGGCCCCCAGCCTCGGCCCGGAAGGCCCCTCTGGGCAGCGGCGCGGACACAGCGAGCCGGCCAGTTCCCCGCGCCGCGGACCGACCGGGCGGGACCGACCCAGGACTTCTCCAGGGAGGGGAGCAGGGGAGGAAGGCTAAGAGTTGGGGTTCGTTCGTGGGTCCCCCAGAGCTGGGCGCACGCTGGCGGCGCCCGGACTTCGCCGACTGTCCGCCCGCTGCCACCCGCGCGGCTCGCGCCTGACGCAGCCTGGCGGTCCCTGTCCTGTCTCGAGTCTTTATTTTCAATGCAGGGTGTCGATCGAGACAACGAGCGCTCAGAGCAAAGCAAGGACGCAGTACGGGGGGAATTTTAAACCGATCGATAAGATTTTTCAGAGAAAAAAATCGCTCATATATAGTCCATCTTTTTTTAAGGAAAAAAAAAAAGCCTTCTCGACATTTTAACGGATTTTGTCAAAAGGGTAGATCTATATTTCTTAACATCACAATCCTGAATTTCTTTTGCCAAAAAAAAATTGTAAAACCCCAAAGCCACAATAAAAAATAAAATAATAAAAATACAAAAACAAAAAAAAAAATGAAAGCAATTTCAGTTACTTACTGGAGGCTGTTTCCTGGATACAAGTGAAAGCAATACAATTAAATCAGTAAATGTGACTTTGTTTTGTATTCCTATTGGTATTTTCAATGTGCTGACTGTTGCACTGTAAATGCACCGCTTCCACAACAACGACTCTAGCGAGCCCATCCAGAGCGGCTCTCAAACCTGCAGCCTGGCGCGGCGAGCCACCGGCCCTGCATACTAATAAGCTCGTGCCACTCAGCCCGGAGCAGCCCGCGCGCTGATTGGCCGCGCAGCCCTGCACGGCCGGGAGCTCGTGCCACTCATTCGGCGTAAACAGGCCTCCCAATAGGCTGGCGCCGGGCCAGGGAGCTGCCAATCAGGAAGCAGCGGGGCTACTACCAAGCCCGATGGCGCCTAATTCAAGCCCGGCGACTGCGCAGCTCCTCTGCGCAGATCACTGCTGCTGAATGGGAATGCGGTGGCGCAGGGCGGGAGAGGGAGCAGGAACGAGCGAGTGCGCCTGTCCCGGCGGAGGGGGAGGCGTACACATAGACACACACATATATGTTTAATCCAGCAGGTCTAACGTTCGGCTTCCGCCGCACAGAAGGCCAGGGGAAGAAACACCACCCCCCCTTAAAGTAGTTGCTGCTTTTCTTTTTAATTCCTGGGATCTGTCTGGCAGGTGGCAGGTAGGCCAGACTCCAAGCCCAGAGGCCTTCCCTGGTCGCCTGGCCCATCTACCGATCTTAGGCTACCGCCTGCCAGGACCTGAGCTCACGAATGCACGCCCGCCCGCTGCTTGGGCAGCGCAAGCTTTGAATAGCCCGCCCGGCCCTCTCCTCCCCCTGAACTGGGGATCAGACCCTGCGAAGTGAGTTCTGAGTCTCCAGACGTCTACATTACTGGCTCTCAATTTTACCTCCCTCTGCCTCACTTTGCAACAGAGCAACTACTAACATAGAAAATCAGGGATTTATTGCGAAGACAAGGATTGCC